TGAGGGCCAAAATGCGATTACCGTAGCAGATCGGATCCATTCCTTTACTTCATGGATGCATAATGCTTCTACACATCAGTGTATCCTAACGATAGCACTTCAACAATTCGTTGCTTCAGGTAGCAGTTTTTGAGTGAAATGAATCACCACAACAATGTGCAAATTTGTGAACGCAGATATTCTGCGAAGAGAAGACGATATTTCAAATGAAACTCACTATCACATGAATAAACTCAAAAAGATCATGTGATAGATTCACTGTGGACACCTGATTCTAATGGTGATACCGTAATCAGAGAATGATTTGCAGTGTCTATGAAGCGTTTAGACAGGAGCACTGTTTTCGGAAATGCCACCATCTCGTGCTCGTGAATTATAGTGGTTCAATATCAGAAATACTTCTGAAGATTCGATATTGCACTCGTTCACTATCGATTCAATGCGAACATTCAATGCATTTTGAGAGAATTCAATTGCATTTGCATTTTTTCTTCGATAAATGATTTCAAATTAATTTGCGCGTTATTAAGAACGCTTATCTTCTAAATAAAAGTTTCACTCATCGTCAGATATTTTTGTGTAAAGTATCGAACGCATGTGAAGAATAAATGCTCAGGCAATAAACGGGCTATTAAAAGTGTTAATCGAATCGTAAATGAGTCGTAAAATGCACATTCCATGTGTCTTAGTCAGCGGTCATAAACAACGATTATGGATACTTTAAATCGTCGTTATTGACTGTAGCATTTACACACTTACTTCCCTTGCACATACACCACTACTCATCTGATTGATTCTTCATAGATTACAGTGTTGCAATTGAACACTTATAAGAACATTCAACTTCATGAGCTATACTGATCATAAAGCTTTTACTGAAGAGTTGATCTGTTCAATATTACTTGCTTGCATAATGAAATATAGGATGAATTTTTAGGGGATGAATCAAAAATTCCCCGTAACTACAAGATTTCAACAATTGTGGGATTTATGTTCTCTAGCCACTGGTCGGAAAGAAGTTCATAACTTTCATTCTTGATATGTATGAAGAAAAGTGTTCAGATCTATGTGATGATCAGAACGACTCAAACAATCCATCCGCTTTGATGATACGAGAAAAAGCGCGTAAAACGAGCCGAGACTCATAATTCGCTGCTATACGGTAGATTTGAATACTTTGCATACGTATACGTAAAGAATTAGAGTGAATAAAGGCTTAATATGATGCTATTGTATCTCCAAAAAGGAGCAGCTGCAATTTCAATGCCCTCTGAAATTCTAAGGCCCTCTGGAATGAGTAATTTTCCTATTTCACATCACTGCAATCTTTGACGTCCTAACATATCATCGAGTTGGAACGGGCGAACGGTGGTACATTGAGGTCGATGGCTCAATACCGTATCATCGAGTTTTGTACAATCTCAACAGCTAATCTATTTGGAGCGATTATATCTGGTATAAAACTCTTAATAATCTCCGTAAAACATCTCACGTACCATTGACATATTTTATAAACAAGCGAATCATATCAAAAATTTGACGATTCAAAGGAATATGCTAGGCAAATTGGATCACGCAATGAAAACAATGAAACGACGATAAAAATGTGCCGATAAATATTTTGATTTGATATTGAAGAATATAAATCAGAATTGTTGATAAAGGTAAGAAATATGAGGTATGAGAGGATGCACTGAAACTGAAATTGAACAAAACGGATCATCCACGATACGGTAGCTGGGTATGAAGCATATNATGAATTGAACCGATCAACATTCAATTAACGCGATAACAAACAATATTTCGTACAGTATGAAGGTTTTCTGAGAATCTTGTTTAACTGTATCGCAACAACAGCGACCGAAAATTGGGCAATATTTCTCGTTTTATGATAAATTCTCTCTGATAAGAAGAATCAGAGATTTGCTGTGGAAATGAACCGAATAACGGTGAGTTGTACTCGAAACCGAGTGGTGTACCAATGTTACTGATGATACTGCCGAACCTGAGCCACCAGGTTATGAATTAGCTTCGGTGGAATAACGATAAGGATTAGGGTATCGCTGATAATAAGGAAATTATCACTTACGCGCTAGAAGATTCAACCCATTGAGCGGCAGCGCCCAACATATTCTTCATATTATTCATATAGTTCTGCGGATACAGTAGCGGATCGTAAGCGGCCGCAGCGGCAGCGGCCACCTTATGATGGGCCACATTCGAGGTGACACCGGCGGCAGCCGCTGAAGCGACCGTCGGCGCGACATGCTGAGTCCAATACGAATGAACCGGTGATGAGTCTTCGGGCGATTGCCAACTCGGGTACATAATTTGCGAGCGCACGACTGACGGCCTCTTAAAAAGTAACGACGGTATTGATGGCGATAATAATGGTCGATTTAACAACCGTATTAATGGTACTTAATAACGCCGCATCGTATCGTTTTACTATGTAATTTCGATCATGTAAACGAAAGTGTGAACGGCTCTAGATACTACATAAAAGTGAGAATAAAGAAGCACTAAAACACTCAAATCTAGCCGCCGTCATCTCATTAAATAACACATTACTGAGATAATAAAAGAGCATTTGAATTGGCTGTTGTTGCTGCTGCTACTGCAACAACACCAACAAACAGCAACAATAGTATAAATCGCTTTCGCAATTAGAACGCGATGATTCGATTCNATTCGATTGGTTTGATAGCACGATGACGACGATTCGATTGGTCTAGTAGTGCTTTACAACTCGACTAATAATAGTGATAATAATCATAATAACATTAGTGATAATCATAATAATAAAACACTTCTTGGTGTCCTTTCACATTTCCATACATTCTTCCTCCTTGCCATTCCATTCTTCCACTACTCACACCGAACAGAATGGAAACCGATAAAAATTTTTCTTGTATCGTCTGCTTCAGCACTCACGTACACGCAGGGCCACACAACACTTCACCAAACACATTTTCATCATCAATTTTATTTTATCACATTCAAAGGATTATATCGCTGGCTGGTGGATGATGATTCTTCATTCGTTTGCTAATCACACAGCATTTGTTCTCTAAGAACGCTATTGCACTGCCATTCTCTTCCTTCTCATTGTGCATTCTCAAGGAGAATTTTATTCTTAGACGAACAACAAGACGATCAAGGCATTCATAGATAGTGTGTGTTTATGCGAAGACAGCAGCATTCATTGCAGCACTATATCGCCGCCCGCTCCCGATCCTGCGCTCGTTCGTTGCGCTAAGACGGCGGCCACTTCAAAGGCTTGCTAGTGCTCCGCCCAGCCATATTGACCAATGAACGTTGCGAACGCAAAAGACTTTCATCATACCGCCACGGGTACTCAACTCAACTCAACTCGGCTCGGCTCGGCTCGGCCGGCTCGAACCCATCATAAAATATGTCGTCGTAAATTTTTCTGCCTAGCTGATGTAGCAGCAGCACAGCGGCAGTAGCTTCTGTTGGTTGTGTTTATATAATTCTCATATATGATATTATAAAGAAGGGGATGAATAGATGGAGTTTTCATCAGTCCGTGTATCATTCATTATATTCTTCATTTGGTTCATTCATTCAAATATACCATCACCTAATGCTCTGTTGTATCCTCTACTTTATGTCTTCTGTCTTATATCCATAACCTAGAAATCTATCAAATTTCCAACCTATTTTAGGCTTATTCCATTATCCACCCATATGTATGCTTCAATCATCAATACAATTCATTCAGTTATCAATTTTGACTCCATAACTCATTATCATAGCCATT